TGGTCTTTGTTGTTCCATCAGCTCCCGGGAGAGTTAGACACCTCAGTTGTTGAAAGCAGCTGTTTTGGTGAAGGTTCCTGGGAGGCAGCCGCATGTTTGCATGGCAGAATTGAGGGCTCATGGCCCTCTGGGTAAGTCATACATTGGAATTGCTTGTGGATGGTTGCTGGGGTCCGTGCAATTAAGAGTTACAGAACAGTTCAGAGAAGCATTCAGAACCGACATCCTATAACGAATATAAGGACCTTTGTACCCTAGTCTGCAGCCACATTCAAGACCGCCAATTTGTATAATAGAGGCTTGACTTCCCCCGTTTATCTTTTGCTCTGTTAAAAAGAGTAATTCAGTTTATTTTCCTGGATTAGTGTAATCTGTGTTGGTGTTTTGGGGGGTGGGAGGGGAGGGCAGGAAGAGAAGGTCAGCTGTTTTTAATACTGGTGTACTCTGTGGTCAGGGCTCACTAATTATAGCCTGGATAAAGTATCAAATTTCAAAGTCCTTTACACAAGGAAGGTTCTCAGTTTTCAGCGGGATCAAATCCATCCCATAAACATACACATCATAGGCATCTTGGTTTTGGTTAGTATTGGGTAACTATCAGCTGATTGCTCTGCTGTTGTCTGATAATACTGTACTGGGAGCAGTGAGGAAATTGTCACACAAGTATATCTAGTAGGTGGGGGTTCTTAAAGCACTCGTTTCACTCTGCAGCTGAAGAAGCTGTTTGGGGTTACAGTGCACCTTCTCTGTCTCTTGTGCGTTACGCGTGACGTTGGACAGCAGAAAGGATGTTAAGTGGCTGAATGGTTGTGTTGTGTATCTGGCCTGAGAAATGGCTTCAGAGATTTTCTTCTAGTTATGATGAATGGAGTTGGCACTAGTGATTTTAAAAAAAACCATAGCACAGGAAATTGTAAAGGAGTAGGAGGTGTTCGCTAACTGTGTTGTAGGGTTTCTTTCTTCTCCCGCTCCAGAATAAAGTCTCTGCTGTGTTGTCTCCCATTTACACAAAATTTCTGTGATGTGGTATTTAGTAAGACAAAAATTGCTTCTGTTACATGATTTTCTGTGCCAGATATGCAGTAATGAAATAGTTCAGAAGTGTGACACAAGATAGGAGGAAAGCCATAGGAAGTGCTCTCCATTTTCTATTCCATCTGCTGCTATTATGGCGTAGAAATCCTTTAGACTGTTTTTTTAAAAATAGAATTTTCCCAATTCGTTTATTTATGTGGTTTGGGAAGTATTGGATCAGGTATTAAAATGTTATGCCTGTAAATCCTCTAAGGAGTTTTGTGGTAAGCACACACACACAAAAAGTTATTAGGATAATTGAAAAGCAAAATTTGTCATATGATCTTGATGCTGTTAAAGAAAAACTGGTGAAACTAGCTGTGTTGGTTTGGGGTTTTTTTTCCCTCCTGTCTCTTTAAGTTTTCATTAAGTGAGTAGTCTTAAGCATTGAAAGACTGGAGATATCCAAGCCATGTTTAGGAGTGATTGTATAATGAAGGGAAGATGTGAGTAATGCTGAGAAGAGAGCACTTGTGGTTCTGAGCTAGGCATTTGCTTACCCCTGACTGTATGGCAGGGAAAAATTTGCCGCTTGGATAAAGTAGGATTTGGGCAGATGGAGCTTATTTCTCTGACTGCAGAAGAAGTAATGTCTCTTAAGTTCCACCATGTTTTGTGGGTTCTCTCTTACTTTCATTGAAATTTCTGGATTTCGTGCGTTTTGTGTTGTGAGACGTTTCAGAATGCAGACTGGCTCTGTTTCCAGCTGAGCCTGCCGTCAAGGCAGACTGAAGCAATATGCTCCATGAAGGAGTGTGAATTTTCTCATATGTTTCAGTGAGCGTTAATGGGAAGAGTAATTAGGGCAACTTGAAGCCAAAATTGCTGTGTTTCGCTTTGAGACAAATTATCAGAGACATCCATCAGCTGTAGTTGGATGTGCGTGGCGTTCCAAGTTTCCATCTGCTTGAAGAGTTTAGAATCAGAAGTGAGGAAAAGAAGTTTAGCTCTCACTCAGGGCTTAAATTTAGAGTAGAACTAGGAAAAATAAAAATCTGCCCTATATGAGTAACTTGGTATCCTAATAAAAACAGGTGAAGGAGACCATATACTTCTAATTATTATTTTATTTCTGCTGAATGCTCCCAGAAAGCAGGACTCTAACCTTGTCTCATAATATATATGTTTGAGACTCCAGCTCCATCATGTTATACTGCTTTCATCTTACTGTCACTGCTTTGATGTCCTTAGCCCGAGATGACTATTTCTGTTGCGGAGCAGGGCCGGAAGCTGGTACATCTTGCTACTTTGCGTAGCAGGGGCTACCTGATTTGTAGTGGCTAACTGTGCTGCTTCCACATCGTCTACTGTGCTACGAGAGAAGACAGGCCGAGCTGAGGGAAGCTGAGACTGCACCTGGCACAGGCAAACTGGTTACACGCAGTGAGCGTATCACAATTTCGGGAACTTGCAGTGTTGTGTATTACGGTCTCCACTGCTGCAGTAGCTATGGGCACAAATGGGTTGGGTCAGGAGACACCATGATTCCTTCACTTGAAATGGGTTGTGTGACTCTCTTGTCTTCCTCTTTAACATATCCCACCTCTTGAGCAGTGTCCAGGCAGAGAACAAAGCAAAGGAAAATGTTTCTCTCTGCAGTATAGAATTTTTAAGGAAGAAGTGCCAGGGGGACGGAAGGCCTTTTGTCTTGCGTGTAAAACCATACCCTCACATTTATTAGGAACATGATCCATCAGGTAACAAGCTGCTAGTATTCTTCTCTCTCTATTTCACTTTCTCTAATGTGAGCATCCCTTGTGTATTTTGTGGCCATCATCAGCACCCTACCAGTAAGTCTTAAACTGTTGATCCATTTTTGACAGCTTTGTTGTGAAGACAGCTCTCTTCTGTAACTACTGTGAAAGTGGGTGGTAGGGTAGAGGCAAGAGTGTGGTGTGAGCTTATGCTTTGGAACAGGAGGGTACATGGTGGGGCAGTGACCCCAAGAATTTCCACCTTCTTAGGAACCCTGGCTCATTTAGGAGCCAGAAAACAAGTATGTAATAAACAGGTATCAGTCAAGGAACTATTAATTATTTTGTGGACTACAATGCATTTTTCTCATGAGGAATGTGGCTGTAGGGCTATATTATTTTGTTTTGTGCTTCAAGTGCAAGGAGTGAGGAAATCTGGTCCCAAATAAGGAGGAGTATGCCGCTTGGGGTTAAGGTTATTTGGATATGTGGAAAAAGAAGTGCTGCCGTCCAAAAGAAGGCTGAGAGAATTGGGCTTGTTCAGCCTGGAGAAGGCTCCGGGGAGACCTCATTGCAGCCTTCCAGTACCTGAAAAGGCCTACAAAGAAGCTGGGGGGAACTTTTTACAAGGGCCTGTAGTGACAGGACAAGGGGTAACAGGTTTAAATTGAGACGGGAGGTTTAGATTGGATATCAGCTGTTCATGGAGAGGGTGGTGAAGCACTGGAACAGGTTGCCCAGAGAAGCTGTGGATGCCCCATCCCTGGAAGTGTTCAAGGCCAGGCTGGATGAGGCTTTGAGCAACCTGGTCCAGTGGAAGGTGTCCCTACCCATGGCAGGGGGTTGGAACTGGGTGATCTTTAAGGCCCCTTCCAACCCAAACCATTCTATGATTCAAAAAAGTTTTTGCACCATTGGAAGCTCTCTTATTTTCCCTGTGGCATAGTATATATATATATACATATATATACAGAGTGTCTGTGGCACAGTATATTGACTCATACGTCTTTTGAAGGTGTGCCCAGTTAATGTGTTCTGGCCCTCACCAAATCACATTAACCTGGTGTAGCCATCAAACTGGGCATGTTGTTGTACTCCTAGAGCAATTGATTGATTTCCTCCCTCCCCCTTTTTTTTTTAGTTGTCCCACTATGAACTGTTGTACCAGCTGACAAATCCCAAAGAAATAGAAGTTCTCTCTAGGTTAGGCTGAGAGAAATAAAAGCGTATCTGTCTTGCTCTTGGCAGAAAGGATCCCAAAACAGTATTTTAATTAAAGCGATTTCATGCTGTCTCTCTGCCATGAACCTAACGAGCAATATGAGCTTGCTAAGGTGCAGGCATGTGACTTGGTGGGAGCTGATCCTCTAATGAGAGGATTAGGTGTGTATTTCTGGTTGTCCACAGCCTGTGGTGCTAAGCATATGTCACTGGGCATGTGAGACGTCTCAGCCAGTCCTCAGTAACCTCTCCTTTACCTCTCTCGTCTTTGCTCTTCCATCCCCTCATGAATATCACCTCACTGATTTCTCTGTTCTTGATATTCCAGCTTGGGATAGACTTCATAAATGGTGTTACACGGAGTTCCTGTCTGGTGTTGTATTTGGGTCTGTAAACAGCGCAAAACCTAAACGGAACGTAAAATATTTCAGGATCTTGTTTTGGCAAGTCACCTGGGGAAGTGTAGGTTGAAGTCGGTGGGATGCAACTGGGATGGACAGTTCTGTCATTAAACTGGCTGGTCTCCAGCACTGCCATTTTACAGAGGGCATTTAGTGAATTGCTTTGCCTCTAAAAATGAGGGGTGATGGAAGAGGAACCAGTCCTGGGCCTCCTGAATTGTGATACCTCTACTGTTTGTGATACAGAAGCTACTTAAAATGAGTTGGTTTGGGGAGAAATCCAGCCTGCCACCTTGAAGCTGGGGAGTGAATGCTGCTTTATGTCCACAGCCCAAGAACTGTGTCTGGAGCTGCTGTTGCCACCGCTTAGTCCAATTCTCTTTTTGTAATGATGGCACCAGGGCAAAATGAAGTTGAAAATCTTCTACTTTAATAGGTTTCCCTTCTTATAATCTTGAATGGTTCAGAAGACCTTACTTTGTCAAGAAACCAGTTTCCTTCTATTTTTTTGTTTCACCTTGGTTTTGATGTTTTGCTCTCTGGGCACTGATGTTAGTATGAGTTCTGTATTGTACTTACTTACATGATAAATCTCTCTCTCTCTTCCCAGATCATTCAACTTCGAGTGGTACATCCTCATTTAAGCCCAGCCGATCACTGGTCTGTATTCCCACTGCCCATGTGATGCCGTCTAATGCCAGCTCTTCACTTTCCAAACACAGAGAAGCTTTCAAGTCTGATGGCTCAGAATGGAGTACCAGCTTTGTGCCGTCAGCAGGAGGCAGAAATCAGGGTGCCCTGGACAATTCTCTTGACATGAAAGATGCAAGACCTGTAAGGAAATGGTCCTCCTTGTCTAAGCTGAGCTCACCAACTGCCTTCAGCCAGGATGGGAGTAGTCATTCAGTGGACTCCAGGGCTGGTACAGACAAAGCTGCGTCACTGCAATTAAGGACAAATGAGCCAAGTTGTTTGCATGATAGGATGGAGTTGCTAAAAATTGAGGACAGAGAAATGGGGAGAAAACTATCTTCTCTGTTGGACTGCAAATACAAATTTGAAACATGCAGCAAAGATGATTTTGTTGCAGACTCCTCAAGTAGGAGACATGCCTTAGACCTGACCTACAGTGCCTTACCTGAAAGCGAACCTGCGGCAGCCAGCTGCGAAGATTTTGGCCAGAGATACGCAACTCTGGGACAGCAGGCTGTGAGCGGAGCTCCCATACAGCCGGCAGTGAGGACTCAGATGTGGCTTAAAGAGCAGTTACGTGCGAATCCTGTGGACTGCAGGGCTGCCGAGAAGCCCTACGGCCCAGCTGCCTGGCATTCCCAGCAGCTGGAGGATTTTAGGACTGGAGGTGAACAGCCAGCGCAGGTAAGGCTAAAGCTTGGTGTTTGCTGCCATCGTGTGTTACACCTGAGGAATACCATCAGGCAGTTTTTACTAAAACAGGAAAGGGAACAGGTCGTCTTAACCAGGTGATGGAGTTTTTAAACTTTGGGGATGTTGCTGCTTTTTTCTCAGTGTTACCTGAGTGCCAACGGTTTTCTTCTGACATTGGCTTGCAGTTTACTCTGATTCAGTGTGCCTCTCTACGTGAGACTACCATGTCTCTGAAGCTGGACACAGTAAGAGGTCATCAAGTAACGTTTTCAGTAGCTCTTGAGAGTCTTCAGTAACTGTAGTGGGGGAATGTGAATGTATCTTGATCGGAATGGATGTGCGAAGAGGCCGCATTTATGCATTCACTGAAAGAGGAATGATTGCTGCATGCTGCAAGGATATTTAGTATCACTATGGCTAGGACTTAAAAATGGAATTCACCTTGATAGTACGGCTTATTTTTTAACTAATTAGAATCAACTGGTAGTCAATATTTAAATAAAATAACATGTAGTTTTTTATGTGTCAAACTCGGGGTATTTTCATACAGAAAACATCAAATATGGTTCTAAGTAGCACATAACCCTTGCCAACATGACAATTCAGTCTTTGTTTCCAGCTTTCACCCTGATGGGAAAAGTTTAGCTTGCGAAGGAAGGCATTATTTAAAATCCAAATGTTTAGGTTTACCTATACAGGTAAACTTGACTTGCCAAAAAAAAAAAAATCCCAAGCAGGTTACAATACGTGGATTTTCCTGCAAGGCAGATTGAGGTTAGGCTAGGAGAGAGAATCTGGCTGTATGTGCGATTGCCTGTTTCCTCCAGCCTGCAGGTATATTAGGTAATTTACAAGGAGTTGTGCTCAGATTTTGTTGTTTCTTCTATTATGTATTGAAGGAAACACTGACAAGTTCAGAGGTTCTCAAGACCCAATCTTGCTCTTAATAGTGATCTGCGGTTTTTTAGTTTTTTTTTTTAACCTTAAAATCTTGAATCCAATTAATATGGCTGAATTAATATTAATCCTTAAGGGTATCTCTAAAAACCTGACATTGTTCCTGATAGCCACCTTTTTACGTTACCCTTATTAGTACAGAAACCCTCATCTTTAAGCTTTTTTGAAGATTTCAGTGTTGATGAATTATGAATTACGCAGGTAGAGAGCAGAGGCCAAGGGGGCCCCTTGGAGCCAGAGCGATGGAAACTGGCAGGAAAAGCCAGGAGCCAGACCAGGAAACTGGTGAGGGCACTACCAGACAGGCTCTTGGCAGCGACTCGTGGCATTAAGGAGCACACGAGGGTTTTGAGGTGCGAGAGCAGGGTACTCTGGAGGAGATGAGTCCATCCATTCGTTCAAGTCTTCCAGAAGACTGATGGGACATGGGGCTGGCTGCAGCCATCAGCAGTGCCGACTGTGAAGTCTGCGTGCAGATTACTGTGCCTGGTAGTTCTCCTTGTGCATTTCAGTATATATTCAGAGTAAGCTTTAGTCACTGATTTACTCCATTCCTCCATTTAGGTATATGTCTCTTCATCTTTTACGTACCTTTCACAGTACTTTGCTTAGGATGGGTGTTTCAGAAGCTTGGTTTTGTTTAGGTCAAAACAACTCCCAACTCCTGTTTTTCATGCCTCACAGTGCTCTCTCACTCTGTGATTAAATACAGTGTCTCCTTTTTGTATGAAGGCACAGCTTCATGATTGAAACAGATGAAGCCCTGTATGTGTTAGGCTATTGAAGAGCTCGTGTTCATGCGGGCGTGGGTGTGGGGCTGTGTTTTGAGGACAGAGCCAGCAGGCGGAGCACAAGCCTTAGTTATCTTTGCTGCATTCATAGAGCAAGCTACACCTTTCCAGGTTTTTGAGACTGTAGCATTATAGGATAAAGTTTTGCCTAAACCTGCTTTTTTTTTTTTCCTTGCTCTTGTTATTTTTATATCTGTCAGTATTCATATATGTGTCACAGGACCCAGCTTAGGGGTCCTGGCTTAGGAAGCAGTGATCCTATCTACTGTCTGGTCAGCCCTGGAAAACGGGGAAGTCCTCGAAGCTGTGGCCTTTGCTGTGCTTACCCTGCCTGCCTGCTTGATTGCGAGGGGTGGCTACAGGGAGTCTGGCAGTGATAAGGGCACAAGGGGTGCAGAGTGGGTTCCTCAGCAAGCACTTTCATTGGCATAATTTGGAGCTGCGATGATGGGCCTTGAAACAGGATCCATTACGTTCCCTCGAGCGAGAAGATGCAATAGAACCCAGAGACACAGAAAGTTGAAGTATGTGCAGGTTGGCATCCTCCGCTTGCCCTCCCTGCCTGCCCAGAGGTTGTAGCTGTAAGGAGGAGAGGTACCAGAAGAGATGAAGGAGAATGGTTCTTTGTCTTTATACCTTTTCTTTTTTTTTAAAGAAACCTCAGCAGGAGGACAGGGTAATCCTGGTTATGCATACAAACTGGTGGGATGAGAGGCTGGAGAGCAGCCCCACAGAAAGAGACCTGGGAGTTTGGGTTTGATGGCAAGTTGCATGTGACTCAGCAGTGTGCCCTGGCAGCTGAAAGGGCCATCTGTGTCCTGGGGTGCACCCAGCACAGCGTAGCTAGCTGGTCAAGGGCGGTGGTTGTCCCACTCTACGCTGCAGTTTTGGGCATCTCAGTATAAGGAGGACATGAAACAACAGAATGTGTCCAGATCTTGAGGGTGAGATTTACGAGGAGCAGCTGATGTCACTTGGTTTGTTCAGCTTGGAGAAGAGAAGGCTGAGGGGTGACCTCATACGGTCTACAGCTTCCTCACTGGCGGCAGGGGAGGGGGAGATGATGATCTCCTCTCTGATGACCAGCAACAGGACATGTGGAAATAGTATGAAGTTGTGTCAGGAGAAGTTCAGATTGGACATTAGGAAAAGGTTCCTCGCTTGAAGGGGAGGTCTGTCACTGGAACAGGCTACCGAAGAAAGCGGTCATGGCATCAAGCCTGTCAGAGTTCAAGGAGCATCTGGATGATGCTCTTAGTCATGTAGTTTTAGGTAATTCTGTGAGGAGCAGGGAGTTGGAGTTGATGATCCGTATGCGTCCCTTCCAACCCGAGATATTCTGTGACTCTCTAATTCTGCTATGATTAATTTTTTTTTCAAAGATCACCGTATGTACACCTGGATACTGATTTCTGAGAAACTAAGAAAACTACGATCCTAAGTGGAATATATACCTAGGAAAGAGACAGAGCGGAAAGCTAAGATTTTCCTAGAGGAAGTTGGTGATTTTTAGAAGGTGAAAAAAGCTTCACCTCTACATAATCTTTTTAATTTTTCTTTTTCTCTTAAAGGTTATTATTTTTACTTTTGCTTTTGGTAAGTATATTTGCTGAAGGAAATGCAGTGGTTTTTACAGGATTTTTATAAAATCAGACAAGCTTTGAATTTAAGTTTACTGTAAAGGATAATATATTACAGTCCTTAAAAGCTCTTCCAAGATTATTTTATCTCAAAATTAAGATTTTTCCACTTCCTTAATAGTCTGAATTTAACTGAACTTGGCATCTACATGTTGTCCTTTTGTTATATTTTGCTCCCCAAATTAGCCTATAATGTAGCTTTTCCATTTCAGTTGTAAACCATGATTTTTAAAAATAAAATATTTACTGTGCATTGTAAGGGAAGCTCAGAGTGTTGGGTAGAAGACCTACAGCTATGCTGAGGTTCTCTTTGAGGACATGGTCAGGTTTGCAGCTGCAGAAAAGGTGCTGTGGATCGACAGAATGCCTCTTTAGAGAAGGTGCTTTGTTCGTTCCCCTGTGGGTGTGAGGTTTGTACGTTTTTGGAAAGAAGTCTCCAAGGAGGATCTGGTCTGTAGTTACTGTGTAACATCATGGAGTTGCATATGAAGACTCTTTTCTCTAGCTACTGTGTAATACTTCATTATTTGAAGATAAATATCCTCCTACACACTTGCAAGGAACAGATTTTAACAATACTTCAATGAAAATAATTTCCATGTAGAATTTATATTTCACCATACACGTAATTATTTTCAGCATGCAGCTGATCTTTTCAGCAGACATAACCACTGTAATACTTTTTTTTTTTTCTTTAACCTTCAAGGATGGAAGCCTGCCATTAGGCCTGTGTTAAGGGGAAAAAAGAAAGCTTATAATATATGACAGTGGTTCCCATTTAGTAAACTGGGAGGCCATACAAATCTGGATTAAAAGGCTGCATGCTTTCATGTAAAGGCATTTCTTAAAGCCTGATCCTATTATCTATCCTGTTATCTGAATGTACGTAGGTGCCTGCTGTATGCTAGTCCAGAAATAAAGTTTGAAAGCGTGCCTTTAACACTGTGGGATACAATAAGAAGGAAGGTTTCAGAAGATGATGTGTCTACTTATTAGCTCTGTACAATGTTGTAGGCATCACATGATGAATCTTCTGGGTTTTTTTCCAGTGTATGGGATATCTGTGTGATGTCTTCATGGTGTGCCAACTTGCGTCAGAATATAGCAGAAATAATAGCTGGAAATTGCATAAGTTCATCTTTTAATGTATCTGAATTACTCTTCTTTCTTTAATGAGGAAAACATTGCCTTGTTCATACCATGCATGTAAAAGTTGCTGGGAATTAAATTTTAATGTATTAAGAAATGTAGAGATAATACAATAATCTTCATTTCAAAACAAAAGGAAGGAAGTAAACTGCACATGTACCTAAGCACTGGTAAGCAAAAGTTGTAAAACTCTAATTAAAAGAAAAAGTTACAGAATTCTTCAAATAATATTGTTGCCACAGAAAACTTAATTATTACGTGTCAACTCAAAACTAGGTTTTCTTCAGATCCTGGCAGATCAGAAAACAAAACCTGATTAATATCCATGTTTTTCCCATGTCACGTTTTGATGAAACCATACTTTTCAGCAAGACAAAACTTTTTCAACACGAAGAACGATCACCTTCAGTTAGCAGAGTGAGCCCTTCACTGCAAGCCACAATCAATGCTCAGTGCCTTTCGCTGTGAAGCCGGTAGCCCAGCAGCTGGGATTGCGTTCATTATAGCCTGCATGTGGGCTTCCTCTGGCACAGGCGCTAGCGGGCGATGGGAAACCGAACTTGGACCGCCCATGCTTGATGGCAAAAAGAGACTTGGCATTGGTTAACTGCTAACTTGCCAATTTTAGATGTTGTCTCAGGAGAATGCCAGTTTCGATTTCAGCAGTGTATTTCAGCATTCGTTGAAGATTCTGTAATTTTTATTGCGGGCTTAGAGGAGGCTGCTGGGGTTGTCTCTTTGGGCTGTTTTTACAGGCTAGTGACAGAGTGTCTTAAAAATTTCCTTTGTATGGAATTTTGGATCTGGAATTATGTGATTGTTGCTGGCAGGAGCCTCATCTTCCTCCTTTTATTAAAAAGGAATATGTGCTTTTTTTTTTTGTCAGGGCTAACTCATTTGTCTGATTTTAGCTATTAGACTTTTAGGCTGGTTTCTCTAAGACAGGAAAACCTTTTGAGTATACAGAAGAGCATACATATGATGAGCTTTGTACAAGCCCAAGCAGTGTGTGTGTGAATTGCCTTTTTGCTGGGAAAAACCATTGTTCTAATTCTTTAGACTAGAGTGGGCTTCATATGGGTTTCTGTGGTTGTGGTATGCTTCGTGCCGTCTATGTCAAGCACCCACAGAAGTCCTCCTAAATAATACGTAACTGTGTAACTGTTCCAGCATATATTCCTTGTGTATAAATTTACAGATTTTTTTTTTTTTCTGTAAAAGCAGAATTATTTCAAGATTATCAAAATAAGTGATAAAGTGCTTATGGTGATGTAGCTGTGCAAAGTTTTCTGCTTCAGATGCAAACAAACAGGAATTGCTATTACTCTATCAGTATTAAAAAGCTGTAGGAGCGTAGTTGATAGAAGCTATTTTAAATCGTTATTGCACATATTTTGAAGCAGATGAGAGAAAAGCTTTCATCTGGACTATCCATGCTGCCTCAGCTAGTGTTGCCAAAGCTTTGTAGCAGGAATACCGAGTGGAAGGTGGATGCCTGTTAACCGTAGAACTCGCGTAAACTTTGTTTCTGTAGGCATGCTGGCTTTCTCCTATGAAAAGTCTGTCTGTGGATCCAGTTTAGATGGGTCTCTTCCAGATATCTGAACCACCCCACAACAACAGTAATGGTCTGGAAATCCTGCGTGTGAACATGAGGATATCAGCTCTGTAATAACCTGCAGCACCTGAAGTGCTGGATCAGCAGTATATGTGCTGGAAGCGGGATGTGCTGTTGGTGATGGAAGGCTGGATGCTGGGGCTTCCCTTGTGCCCTGAGCAACATCTGCTTTTTCTGTGTGTGCAAAAGACTGTTAGTATGCGTAGGTATGGCATTAAGTTTACTGTACAGTGAATATGAGCTGGTGCACTTTGTTCCCCTCTTGTGCTTGGGCGCGGGAGGTGCTTGTGTAAGCAAGCTGCTTGGCCCCGATCGGGCCACCTTCTTTCCCAAGGTATCTCAGGTGTGTAGAGCTACCTTCTGGGCAAACAACTCCAGCAGGTGTGAGCTCTTCCTGGTCACTGTCCTGCCCAGGGACCCGTGGGGGATGCATGTACACCATCCTGTAAAGGGCCATAGAAGAAGGTCCTGTAAGAAGCTTATGTTGCACGCAGAACGTGAGGACGAGCTGTGGCCTGGGAGATTGCATTGGCAACAAGCTGCGTTTCACATACGGCTGGAGGGCTCCCTGCCACACACTTGACCT